TTACCAACTTGACTCGATTATATATATATATATATATATATATATTTGTCTAATATATAGATATATAAATTGATAATATATAGATATATAGATTGATAAAATTGTCTAAATATTTAGGTTTGCTGCGCGGATGTGGATTCTGCAAAAGGTCAACGCACAGTGGAGGAGTTGCAAAAGAGTTATGGAGAATCAAACTGCATTTTTGTCAAATGTGATGTGTCCTCTTCAGAAGAATTTGAGAGTATTTATTGTATTTTACACTTAAATCCAATTAATTTATGAATACATCGTTAATATTTGCTTCCTTGCTGTTATAATTCTTAATTATAACCGCAGAGAAGCAAAGAATATATTTTAAAGAAACGTCACGAAACTCTACACTTCAATATAATTAGGAAAACATAACTTATCGTTAATGCAGGAATAATTACGTAAACAAATGTACATTTAATGCAGATATTTTAACTAAAATTCTGGCTTAAAATAATCATTGTAAATTTATATTTCAACAACGGTTTTGCGCTTCTTTTAAGTATAGTAAAACCTGTATACATCGGACTCCTACGGCACAGAATGGGTTTTTCCAAATTTGGCAGGTTTCCATCTTGAACAGGTTTTACTGTATATTAATTCCGCACGAATATTAGTATAATTTGTAACGATTTTTGACATATTGAACCTCTGTCGACTGTGAAGTGAATGGTTGAAATGCATTTATTTCTCAAAACACTTGTGAATAAATGATAAAATGCAGTGTAACGTCGATTTAAAGATCTCGATATACGATTTCATTACAATTAACAAACAGATTGATTTCACTTGTTTTGTGTTTACCTGCTGTCTTAATTACCATTTTCTTACAATTAAATAAAAAATGTATGATAATTTGTTTTCTGCACTTATTTAATTACAACAACGCAACACGTCAGCGAATTGCGGAGATCTTTTGTAGGAAACTGGCCCCCTATTTAGATGCTGGTGTGAAATCCGCGAATTTAACGCAGTTGTCGGAAAAAAGAAATGTAAACAACTCGGATAGAAAAAACGCTCCTGGTGAGAATTAGATCGGAGGTCACCGTTTGTTATAACAATTAGATGGGAAAGTTGACACATAGGTGTCAATAATGCACCATTATTGTCAACATGTGACGATCATGTGACTCCTTTACCACGACAAGCGAATAAAACTCGAGCCCCCGGAAGCTCAGGGCGCATCCGCACACGGAAGGTATTTCTGTACTTGTGCCAATAGATCTCCATACAAAGGAATTGGATCCCGTCGGAGAAGACACAGAGGATCGTCGCCATATCAACTCTCCATTACGACGAGAGGTATTTAGGGGTTAAATTAAACACGTGAAGAAAATTCGGAAAATTCCACACGGCCAGTTCATTGGTCAGGCGCGAACCCGTGACCAACTTCCAGTATTCAGTAGTGTTATGCACTCGGGCACTGGTGGAATTGTTAATTTGTTTAATGTGTCTTCGTGAAAATAAACAATTAGTGTGGGTTTATTAGTTGTTCTGTATAAGAAGTTTTAAATTTACTATTAATTAAAATGTACGAAAATATTAAATATATTTGACGATTTTTTTTATCAGTTCCATTTTAAAGCTTCATTCCTCCCAGGCTCAGCGACTGTTCGTCTGTTACACCTGACTTACAGCGTTAGTGGCAGTTATACACTCCATTCCAGAAAACAGTGCCTCGACAGTCTATAAAACATGCTGAAGGTTTAGTTTGATTTTGTTTATTTGCCTCTATTTAGGTGTTAAAAACGTGAAAAAGTCCAAGAAAACTCCATGTAGCCAGTCTTCGGCCAGGTGCCAATCCACAACAAACTACCAACTTTTGGTAGTTTTATCCACTCACCCATTGATGCTGAAGTTGTGGTAAATTTATCATGTTCCACCACTCAAATATCTATGCTGCATGCTCTAAATGTTGTACTGGTTGCAGATTGCAGATAGCATGTCATATCTTCATTATTATTATTTTTATCTCTTTCCGCCCTATGGACACTATGAGAGCTTTTCTAGCAAGCCCATTATGGGTTCGGCAGACCCACAATGGGGCAGCCAGGTAGGGAAAATAGTTAAAGCTTTCTCTTTTTTTTCTTTACACTTATTATTCACTCTCCTGAAGAAAAAGATAAGCAGGAAAAAAACCTATTTAAGGAATGTAATTTTAGTGAATTTAATGTAATTTAGTTATTTGATGTAAATTGTATAAATTTGACAATACTATGCCTGTTCCCTTACTTCTAATGAATGATTTTAATTTCAGAATTATGTTTATTTTGTTCCTTTTTTAAAATGCTTGTTAACTGCTGATATACACTTTTTTATTTCTTGTAATTATTATAGGCAATTCTCGGGCATGCCAGTTTTGGAAAGTCAATGGGATTCGCAAGCAAAGATTTTAGCCAATAGTGCTACAAAAGTTTTGCATAACGTTGACACCTCGAAATATTATGCCTGCACTTACGATCCTTTTTGGATGCCATTTAAACGTACGAATGAAGTTTGGATGCTCATGAAATAAGAATATACATAATTAACTAATTAAAAATTAACAGCCAAATATTGCAAATACTTTATGTAAATTAACTCTTCATTAATAAATTTTGTTAAAGAAATATGGGATGGTGTTCATATCTTGTTTCAGGATAAGTGAGGTAAAAATATTGTTAACTTGTTAAATTTAAATAAAATTAAATGCTTTTAAATATGTACTTAATATATATTTGCTATTTCATGTNATATATTATCTAAAAAAGAAAGCCATACAATAAGACACACTAAGTTTATTCAAAAGGAATACACCGTATATCTGTTAAAATCAATTCAAGTCCATTTTTTAAAAATCTTTCTTGAAGAAAATTCATGTTACATTCTAGATTAGCGTACTGTAGCAAATAATACACGAATACTTTTATATTACGACGAAATCAGTCTTATAAATATTAATTTTATGAAACGCCTTTCGTTGATTCGATTAATTCTATTGCAGAAGCTTACTTGAAAGCCAAACATTCATTTGGCAATTTAAATATTTTAATAAATAATGCGGGAGTTTCTCAAGGTAATAAAATTGTGGATGTTAATTTGGTAAGTTTGTGGCAATTTCCATTCTTTAAAAGTTCATTTTATTGATTACATTATAAATTTTTTATCAAAATTTTTGCAGAACGGTGTGATATATGGCTGCAATATTGCATTAAAGTATATGGGGAAGAATAATGGAGGAGATGGTGGTGCTGTTGTCAATGTTTCTTCTGTAGGAGGTATTCAGAGGTTCTGAAACTTCGTTCCGTGCACATAATTAATTCAGATAATCAATTTTTTAAAATTTATATATTAGGTCTTCAACCTGTGCCACCAAAACCTGTCTATTCAGCAACCAAAGCTGGTGTAATCATTCTTACAAGATGTTATGGAGTAAGTAAAATGATGATAAATGCGCTAGTTTAAATATATGTCTAGAGTAAATTCGTACAAAATAATTGTAATTATCAATGTTTCGTCATGTTAAATTTTTGAAAATGAACTCTGTTATAATTTTTATTGTTATACATTTAATTATGACTGCTCTTTAAGCTCTTCTATCTCTTTATTTATTGTAATAAATAATAAATTAACAAACGAATCGTCGTTAATACAAAATCTAATCAGTTATTATTACAATATTTCTGATTATAAAATTATATATTTATATCTTACGTCAACAGCTCCATTATGAAAAAAGTGGAATTAAGTTTACCTGTGTATGCCCAGCGCCTGTAAATACTGAAATGTTTCAAAATGATGTTAAAGCAACGAATATCAATAAAGATTTTATAAGAATATTAGAAAGAAATCCACCAATGGAGTACGTATAACTTGAAGTGAAATTTTAATTATAATTAATTATAAATTTGTAAAATAGAACCGTCATCTGTTAAGGTAACCTTTTAAAGCGAATCTTTTAATTCGTCTATTTGTATATTATCCATAGCCATTATAAATTAAGTATGTACATTCCATTAAAAACTGCTATATAAATAATGTAACTTATTCAGAACGTGTTTTATAAAAACACTCAATTTATGCAAATACAAGAAGAGTCTATTTGGCAATCAGCTTAATAAACAAACGAATGACGTAGTCAATTTCATTTGAAACTGACTACGTCATTGGTTTTTTCACTTGCTGCTTGTTACTTATCATCCATAGCCTTTGAGTAGTACTAAAAACACGTATACAGATTTAGTGGCTGTATGAATTGACCATACGTTGCTAATTATATAACAGTTTATATGAGAAATTTATTTACTCAATGCTATGTAAAATATTAAACTAGGAATAAATTATATAAATTTAGAAATTAAGATTGATAAGATAAAATTCTGAACATGTTTAATCAATAATTTCAAGAAATTGGGAAATTCAAAGTGAAATATTTTAATAGAAAAGAGAAGTATTTCTGTTATTAAAATTGATGTTTATCTGCAAAATGTTTGTTGTTTCTTATGCATTTTATAAAATATTTTAAATATATTTAAAAAATATTTTTCTCGAGACATCGAGAAAACGTTTAAAAATTTCTAAAAGAAAAAATAAACAGTTCAAAGAGTTATAATTTGTAATTCAGAAATTTAAAACACAACCTACAGTATCGAAGAACAGTTTAAATTTACTAACCATTAAAATATCAAATTGCAACAGGGTATATGAAATTTGTGTTTAAAAGTAGAAGAAAGATTTAGTGTTTTGTATGGCATCTCGAGACAGATAGTAAAAACCTCTTGTTGATTTGCCTAAATTAATTCATTTCNTATAATTATAATTATATTAATTATAATATAATTAATAATAATTTGTTCGATAATTGCTTAGATTCGAACATCTTTAGCCTCTGATGATGGCCCATGAAATGGGTTGAAAACGTTTGTTTAGCTCAATAAATGTGCGTTCTCAGTATTAAGGTGTGTTGATTGTATCATATATTGTTAAGGAATCTGAGTGAGAATAGGAAATTAATAATTAAAAATTTAGCGAACATTTATTGACATCTATAATGTTGCTACAGAACACGATTGATAAGGCTATAAAAATATCAAAAATTGATCGAAATTTATGAATTGCGCAAAAATATTCTTCAAAGGCAAAATTCCAATCACCAGATCTTAAGGTGAAATGAACTAATAGAATTCTCTAGAAAAAGCTGAAATTCTTAAAGGATTTTTAATCAATTTTGAGTCGTGTCAAATTAATAATGTGATTAATTTTCAGATCAAGTGAAGTGGCCGAAGCAATTATTCAGCTCATAGAAGAAGGAAATACGGGAGCAGTTATGACTGTTATTAAAGGAGAGGAAAATGAATATGTACAATTTCCAGATAAAATGTACTTAAAATAGTATTAATTTTGTATAAATGTAAGTCAAATATTTTCAGTTACAAACGCCAAATTATAAAAATAATTCAACACGTCTTATTTTCGCATATCTTTTAGTGATTCGAAAGGATTCGTTTATTCTTGGTAATGTTAAATCTGTATAAATTATAAATTAAATCAATACATAAATCTCAAAATCCCGTTAATGTTTATTTTATGACTTGACAATTTGAAAATAAAATCAAAATTTATTGGCACATGTAATAAAACAATTTATGATTTATTACGTATATTTTGTTAAACTAAATATATTATTAAAATTAATCTATTATTGAAAAATTTGTTACATATTTTAATATATAAAACGATATAAATAGTTTTCTTTTGAATGAGATTAAAACAATTGGTTGAATAGTCCACATTATGAGCCGGCAATAATAAAAACTAGCTGAAATGGAGCCTCAATAAAACGAAAAATAAATAAATAAATCGCCAATTATTTATTGTGACATCATCATCATTCTTAGCAGCAATTTTTAATCATATTTTAAATTTATTTCATTCAAAATATATGCTCTCCACCTCAAATTAGTAAAGTGCATCATACTTTTTCGTTAGCAATGGAGTCGTGCCCGTCATCCAACTCGAATCTCTCTTTGCATCATAAGTTTGTATATAGTTAATCGGGGCCCCCTGCTCCTATGCTTTCCACACTGGTCTCATCTTTATCTAACTCCATTCTCAATAGTAAGGAAAGACAGACGAACAGACAGATGACAGTGAAAATTTATAGGTCTACAAGTTTTTGAAATTGCAGCCCAATAAACGGTAACCTGGCAACAACGGAAACCGTGCGATTTTGATTTAAACAGATTTTACTGTACAGTGTAAATATATGACAGTCTTAAAACTTACTCCATGTATATGTAATGGAAATTACTTTAAAGAAGAGATAATTATTACAAGAGAATATTTCAAAATTTCACGAAAGGACACTTCGTGATCCTTGAAACGTACTTTTCAATGTATAAAAAGAATAGCCTAAGAAATGGAAAAAATTTTTCAAGTTCCGAAGTATTTTGCAAATGTTGATTCTCAACTTTTTTCCATCGAATAATATTTTTACCATTATGAATTTACAAAGATACTTTTAAATTAATAAATTAAATAATTTAAATGTAGACCAGTAATCTTTAAAATAATCTGATAAGCACTAAATTTTAGTATAGAAAAAAACTATAAATAATAAAAATTCTTTTAACACTCGAAGGATAATTAAGAAGCAGAAACGTGTACTAAATTCTATTAAGTAATAAATGAAATTTAATGTTTAAGAAACAAAACTAGGCTTTAAATGATTGAAATTTTATATTCATTTATGCATTTTTTTGTTGTTTTCAAAACACCAAAAAGTATCGTAAAAAAATAAAACCTTATGTTTAAACGTTAGTAAGTTATATTGTTATAACCAGGGCTGTGGAGTCGCGTAAAAATCTACCGACTCCGACTCTTCCTTATCATCCGACTCCAACTCCGGCTAAAACACCAAAACTCCACGACTCTGACTCAACAGCCCCGCCAGGGCTGTGGAAGTCGCGTAAAAATCTACTGACTCCAACTCCGACTCCGGCTAAAACATCAAAACTCCACGACTCCGACTCCACAGCCCTGGTTATAACCCAGTGTTCAACCAAAAAAAAAAAAAAAAATTAAAGATTCTGTATCTCATATATGTTATAGGGTTTTTGTTATATTATTTGCAAAGGTTCTGTCAATACTTAAAAGATATCAAATAACCGAAACCTCTCAAAACGATTATCACATGAGAATATTTTATATTTGAAGATTTTGGCATCCATACTTAGAAAGATATATTTATAATTTATTTTGTATACTAGTACAAAATAAATTATAAATTATTTCTATATATTAACAGGACTTATAAGTCCTGTTAATATATAGAAAGTACTAGTATACAAAATAAATTATAAATAGTTAAAAAAGACAAAAAGGCATAAAAATTAAACTTATAAAGATTACTTTGGACGAGACCATTAATTCTGAAGCTTCTTTGGCTAGAGGTACACTGTAAAACGTGAACAAATTTTCTGGCGTAATTCGCGTACAAAATTTAAGATGTATTAAATTAATATATTTTAAATTATAAATAATTGTTTACTATAATAACTGCTGTCCCACAGGCCTAACCTAGTTACTACTTTATCGTGAATGGAATAAATCTTTGTACAGTCCGGTTTCTTCTCGTTTTTAAAATATATTTTCTTTAATGCCCAAAGAGCAATTACTGCTACGAATATTTTCAAAATATCCAAATATAGAAGTAATAAATTCAATTTAAAAATATTTTTAGCAACTTTCTGTAGAAAATCTGTCCGAAATGAATTTACTACGCAAGTAGGTTACATAAATTTCATTGAAACTTTGTTAATTCAGTAAATTCGTTATATTTTATTTGTAATTTAAAATATTTCTTGGATTTCCATATTTAAAATTATCGAGACAAAAAGAAATAATGGATACAGAATATAGAAATGTAACAAATAGCGTTGTTTGTTCGCGAAAAGAAGACACGTGATAACGTCAAGTGAAAAAAAATAAAAATCAAATACATATAAATCGTAGAAAGATTATACACTATTTTATTTCTTTGTATAAAGTAGTGTATAATCTTCCCACGATTCTAAGTAAAGAGGTAAATTTACAGATAATTTAGCTTCTCATACAAAACCAAATTCAACATGAAATATCTACGCAAGAAGCCAAAGAAATATGGTTTCAAAATTCTTTTCTGACATAATTACATTAATTTTCCTTACTGCCTGCAATTCATTTTATTCTTTCCGCCCCGTGGAAAGATAGTTGTAAAAAATAAAGACTAATAAACATTTGACGAATAATAAAGAAACGCAACGCCACGCGACACGCCGAAGAAAAATATCAAATCGAGATTCGCAGTCAATTCTTTGAGGACCTAATAATAGCAAAAACCAGTAAAATGTAGCAAATATAGTAATGTTAAGTAGCAATAACCCTCCAATCTGTTATATTAGGTTTTTCATATTGAAATAAGCAATTAACTGATTATCGTGCGCTTAATGCGCGTTGGACGCGCCGCGCAACAATATTTATTATCTATTGTTGCATTAACAATAAACGCTTCTAATTTTGGTCATTGTCAAAGCGAGTTTAGCTAATTGTCGAAGAGTTTATTCGATGTGGTTTCATCTAATGCGAAATAGTTATTCAATATGAGTACAACAAGTAAGTTTACTTTATTTTATTATATATACTTTAACTATAATTATTCTTTACTTGTTTGCACTATTAACCAGTACACGGAAAAATAATTCTCCAATCCTTTCTGACTTAAGGAGGCTAAAAAATTCCAAGACCCTAATCCATTTACTTAAACTTGAATTAGAGCCAGGATTAAAAAATTAAAAGTCAAAAAAAGGTAAACTTTGAGAGAAAAATTTGTTTATTTAGTTTACTCTATACCAGGTGTGGCCAACAGCTTTTGCTCCCGGGCCGAATTAAAAAGACGACTTTTTCCGCGGGCCGAACCAGAGGCTGCCCTAGGAAGATTTTGAGGTGGTGCGAGATCTCATTGTGGTTTTTTTTTTTTTTTAACTCTTTCCGCCCTGTGAGCACTAAGAGGGCCTCTTTTTGCAAGCCTATTATGGGTTCGGCCAGGCCCACAATGGGGCTGCCGGGTGGTGAGGGATGGGGCCCGACATATCCGAACGGACCACCCCCCGAAAAATTCCTGGGAATTTTTCGACCCATTCGGATTCAAACCCGGGTCGCCCAGAGCGGTAGGCTGCCACCTTGACCACTCGGCCATCCGGCCGCAATCTCATTGTGGTGTCACCCTGTAGAGACTAAATTGTACATAGAGATTAGAGATACATTTTTCACATTATCGTGCTTTATCAACATTCTACGCTGTACTTACGAGATTTGTAATGGAGGGTTAACTCTAAACGCACAATGAATTGTTGACCGTTTTTTAGGCGTCAGAGTTTTTCATCCAGCTATTCGGACTTGAATAGCTAATATTGAAAGATTGATCGCGGGCCATATAAATTCGTTAGACGGGCCGGATCCGGCCCGCGGACCGTATGTTGGCCATGCCTGCTCTATACTCAAACCTAAATGCATTTCGCCGTTATCGGCTCCTCAGTAGGGTTTCTCATAAACAAACCATGATACAAGTTAGCCATCAGTGATAGATGCATCACTCCCACAATTCACAACGTATTTAGTTTTTATATCTGATTAGGCTTTCCCAGCATTCCGCGGGTTTTTTAACCTCCATAAGTCAGAAAGGATTGAAGAATTGATTTTCCGTGTAGTGGTTAATTAATAGTGCAAACAAGTAACGACTGATTATCTGACTCCATCGTTTTTAATAATTTTTAAAAATTATTTGATTAATTATAATTATATTCATTAGATGACGACCGCAGGTCGCTAATATAAATAGAAGTATTGCATTCAACCCAATTATTAATATAACTTTTAGAAAATAAATAAAAATAGGTTAAATTTACCCTAGGTACCCAAGATGGCGGCTCTTCCTGTAGCCTCGAATAAGATCGAGGATTCGACGATTCGCGACGATTGACGTAGAAGGCGCTGTTTAAATATTTGTGACGAATTATATAAATTATCGAACGATAACGTGTTTGCGGATGCGTTCAGTGACACAGAAGCGAAAGTTATATGAATTTAAAAGCAGTCAAGGTTTATAAATTAATTTTTTTTCGTTAATTTGATAATAATAAGAATGGATAATTTAGAAATTAATTCTAAAGATTTTTGGTTAAAATGCACAACTAGTCAGTTTTATAAACTTTTAGAATCGGAATATGATGTAAATTTAGGTTTAGATACCAAAATTGGTAGTAGTGACTTCAAATTTGCCATAAATTTAGGCACTTTTTTAAGCTTTATTTGTCAAGTGAACGACCGTTCCGAAACCACTCTAAATTGGATTATTTATAAATTTGTCAATTCTGGAAGCATAGTTCATACCGACGAATGAAAAGGTTACAACAACATAGACAAATTGGAAGGAATAGATATCGAGCAGAGAACGGTCAACCGTTCGGAAAATTTTGTTAATCCAAAAACCGGGATACATACCCAAAATATCGAAAGACTGTGGGGTTATTTGAAGAACAAGAAAAATTTGCC